GTCACAAACAGTTTGACTCAAACAAATAAGAACAAATAAAAATATTATGTTTTAAAATATGTCCGCAATATAGGTTTTTTTGACAAATATTTTGTTCCAACTTCTTACAATGTTGTGTGATACAAACATTGTCTAGAGTCAACACCTTGTAAAATGTCCTTTTTCAGAAGGAGCTTTCCATAACTTTCAATCTGATTGTTACAAAACAACCAATGAACAAAGTTTCATCGAGTCCAACAAAGACAATGTAGTCCAAATGCTTCTTTAAAAAACATGACAAATGAGTGTTCACAAATATTCATGTTTATAGAAATAAATATATTTAATAGAAATATCTTTACATAAAAAATCATAACATTTTTAAGAAACACTTTTTCATAAAATAATTCAATCATTTTGAACAAGTACACATATAATTTGGTTGTTTCATACTAGTCACATACCATATACTAATAAATCAGAAACTCAACGACCACAATGTTAAATATACTCCAACAATTTTGTGAGTCCACATTTTAAATGTGATCTCAAAAATATTTTTTAAGTATTTGAAAATAGTTTTTTAACATATTTCCCGAGACTATCGTATTGTCATTGGTAGTATGAAACCTCTTTTGAAAATATTATTCTACAAAGAATTATATTGCTTTCAATTCTCTTTGACAATCTTTACATAGTGTTAAAGTTCATTCCATAGAGACAAAAAATCACAAATCTAAGTCAATGGTATTTTTCCCTCTATCATAAATTGACATAACACTTCATATATACAATAATAACAATATAGACAAACAATTATACACTTTGATTCTATATACCAGTGAAGTTTTGTAACGACCTGTTTAGTCGTTTTGAGCAGTAGAGTTTATTTCGGGTAATAACTGTCTGAGTCGACGGATCCAACGACGGACCGTCATGGGCACGACGGACCGTCGAGGGGGTCTCATTCAAAAACACTTAGATTCTAAAAAATTTGGGTAATGAGAACAACTCTCTAAACTTCGCGACGACATAGCAGGACGGACCGTCGTGGGCACGACGGACAGTCACAGACACTTAGTGAAATTTAGTCTCTGAACTTTGGGACGGAAGCAGCAGGACGGACCGTTGCAGGCACGACGGGCCGTCACAGGCTGCGTAACCCTGACTGGGTCGGATTTCCGTTAAATGTTTTAAGGGGCGTTTTGGACTATTCCTACTTATAATTATAAAGTTAGTGGTGTTAATAATTCAATTACTTGGGGGTTAAAGGAGATAACCTTGAATTAATTAGTGGGTTACTTATGTCATCTTTTATACTTAATTATATGGTAATTAGGATAAAAGAAAAAGAGTTTGGATGAGGAGAAAGAAGGAAAGAGACAGAAAGAGAGGGAGAACGATCGAGAGAAGAGAGAAACGAAGAGGAAAGCAAAGCATAGGAAAAGTTTATTTCTTGATCACGATTTTTCGGTGGAGGTAGGTTATGGTTTATGCTATTCCATAGTAAACTCTAAATAGCGATTTATATGTACTGGGTAATTTTGTACAGTCTTCTATATGCTTAATTGTGTGCTTGCATGATGTGATTATGTAATTGTGATGAAGTAGCATGATGAGGCTGTTGAATCTTAAACCTTGAAAACTCTTTGTTAATGATGATGCCTTGGTATGAAAGAAGGCTTGATGAACTAAAAGAATGAGGTTAGTGGATCGGGTGTCATGTTCCCGCGCCAGGATAGTATTAGTGGATCGGGTGTCACGTTCTGACGCCAGGATAGTATTAGTGGATCGGGTGTCACGTTTCGACACCAGGATAGTATTAATGAATTGGGTGTCACGTTTCGACACCAGGATAGTGTTAATGGATCGGGTGTCACATTCCGACACCAGGATAGAATTAATGGATCGGGTGTCACGTTCCGACACTAGGATAGTAGTAGTGGATCGGGTGTCACGTTCCGACACCAGTATAGTATGAGTAGGATCAGAGTGTCACGTTCCGACACCAGGATAGTAAAAAGAATGAATCTTGAATTATGTTCATATACTCAATTTAACGAACCTAATTCCCAAATGAGTATGGTATGGAGGCTTGAGTCCTCATGGGTGTACTTGGCGTTATTATCAATGATTCTTGTACTTGTTGTTGCTACCTGTTGAGTATTATAGTTGATTTTATGATATTATCTGATATATATTGCTTTCTATTTTGATTTGGCCGATGATATCTACTCAGTACTCGTGTTTTGTACTGACCCCTACTTGTATGTTTTCTCTTTGTTATTTGTGGTGTGCAGCAAACGTACCATCGTCTTCATCTCAACCGCAACTCGAGCCAGTCTTCATCACGTCAGATTTCAGGATGAGCTATTGTTTCTAGTTTGGACTGGATCTTCTTCTTCACGTCTTGATGCCTTGAAGTTCTGGCATGGACTAGCTGTTTAGTTATTTTAGCTTCATAGATACTCTTAGACTTAGTAATTTGAGGATAGATGTTCTTGTGATGATGACTTCCAGATTTTGGGGATAGTAATTGATAAATTTTAGAAGTTATTTATTGATTTCGTTAATGAGTTTTAAGTCTTCCGCATTATTTTTCTGTTATTATGGTTGGAATGTTGGGGTTTGGATTGGTTGGTTCGCTCACATAGTAGGATAAGTGTGGGTGCCACTCACGGCTCGTTTTGGGTCGTGACAAGTTCAAAGAAAGTCAAAAGTATAATATGGAATTATATGAAGTTTTCATATAAACCAATTGATTTAAGGGTTGAAAAGATACTTGAAATACCTACATTAAAAAACTGGTTTAAAAGACAAAAAGAAGAATACTATGTAGTTAGTCAAAAAGAACACGTCATAGACTGTAAATATACAAGCGGAAGAGCATATATACCTATAATAAGCAAACGAATAATAAATAAAGATCTTTAACACATATAAATGCTTTTCTACAAAAGTTTTTTAGCCGCGGAACAGAATTAAACATAATCCTTAACACATATAAATGTTTTTCTTTTCAATAGTTTTCCAACTATAACATTTTGACATACTATTTTATCAAACAAAAATATATATATCTCTCATTTTGCAATCTAAGGAAATGTAAAGGCAACTCAATTTGCCAAGCAAATTCATTCCACAACGTATGGTTTGCAAATCTTTTTCGAAAGATATACATGATAAAAAATATCAAAGTTGTTAACTCTTACAAACTATTTTCTTCCTCAGACAAAATAATAAGAGGTTTACCTGGTGTAATATTTTATCGGATTACCATAAAATAAATTATGTACATTCTCAATTCAATTTTGCTAAATAAAGCTCCAAATTCTGGAGAAGTAATGCATTAATCTTTTACTTCCATAATTTGTTTCTCTCAAATTAGTAAAATACAAGAAATACCAACAGTATAATAATTTTCTTAAGATTGTTGTTCATCTTGTATTCCTAAGGTACATAGAACAAAACAGAATTTGGAAAAACGGAAAGAAGACCAAGACCACAGAATGCACAGTGTCCCCTGAAGGAAAATATTTTCCTCTATTATCTGAGGTTTGATTTGGAATATGCCCTCCTAGGATAGAATGATCTCACTCACCAGAGTATTGATACCCAAAACACTGGTGTCAGCGAGCCACTCAACAGCAGTAAAGTACACTTAGAATAGTAGATTTTAGTATTAGAAGAAACAGTCCAGAAAAATTGATTCTTTAAATGAGAGGAAATCCAGAAAACAAAGGTAGTGTGTAAAAGTTCTTATTGTGCCTTACCTGAATGGTCACAACTTTTGAAAAAGTCACAACATTTAGGAAAGATCACAATCTTTCATAAAAGTCATAGCTTTTCATAAAAGTCTCAATTTTTCATAAAATTCACAACTTTTCATAAAAGTCGCAACCTTTCATAAAAGTCGCAACTCTTCATAAAAGTCGTAATTCTTCATAAAAGTCGCAGTTCTTCATTTTCCAGTCACACCTTTTAAAACCTAACAAAGCCTAGATCACATGGCTGTTAACACAGTCGTGGTAGTAGCACTAAGCTTGCCGTGTGGTCGCGTGAAGGCTGTCTACTGTGCATAGTAGATTCATGTATACTTTGTAGTGCCTAGTAAAATGGGCATAACTTTTAGCACATAACAATAACGTGAGTGTGGTGAATGCGAGAATTGGAGTTGTCAGTAGAGAATTCATAAAGATAGAAGAGCTAAGTGCAATTAAGGGTTTTTTGGTGAAATTAGAACTTATATTTCAGTGGTATACAATGTAAGTAAAATATAATTTTAGTCCCCAGGAGTATATGTGTTCAGATACTACTAAGAAAATGTCAATTTTCTAAGGCCGTTTTGTTGGAAATTATCTTGTCGTTCAGAAATGTTTTCAACTAAACTATACGTATATAACAGTATGTTGGTGTTTCGAAATTTCTAACATAGTATTTAGTTTAAAGCTTGGAAAATGGTAGAATTTCAAACAGTGTACTGCAGTTTGACTAGTACTAATGAATAATACGTTGAGCTCTATATTAATGGAAAGGATTGCACATGGAAAAAGTAAAATGAGAGGCTAAAGTGTCGGCCAGTCTATTGCATTAGTATGCTGCCAAAATTTTTTTAGGGTTACAAATATTGATCCTTGTTAAACTTTCCCTGCATTTTTTAATTTTCCATCCAGTTTCCATATTCATATTAAGGTCCAATAAAATTTGAATTCACATAAGAAATTCTCATATTGGGGGAAAAAGTTTTCTAACAAAGGAAAATAAATTCCTACGACAACTTGAACCCAAATATAATAAGTGTCCAAAAAAGTGAAGTGTATCAATTTATGAAAATAATGTGTGTTTCATTCATATGCCATTTGTGCTTAGTTCAAAGTGTTATCATCAAATGGGTTTATATCATGTTTTAGTTGTTTCCTTTATAAATTATGTGGTTTTGAATAATTTCCAAATGCATGTTTAAATTTCAATTGTTGCTTTAATAAAATGAGGATCTTCTCAACTCTTTGTGCAACTTGAAATATCAAACTAATAATCAAATAATTCATCGCCTGGAGCTCATGCTAATTGAACAACAAAACATTTCCAATATCCTTGCTTATTCCTCAAAAACTCTGAATAAAATACATTGACACACAACTTAATACGAGCATATTTTATTTGTCATCATCAGAGACATACTCAACACACAAAATATATGTAAAACATCTAACAGCTTGGAACTAAAGAAGCAAACTCAAGAAGCTCAGTGTCATATTGCAATACGGACATATCCTGCTCAGTAAGCGTCACAAATGCATCGATTCCACCAGTTTGGTTACCCATCAAGATAGCCAACTTGTTATTTAGTCCATTTGCTATACTCACCTTTGTAGGCTTCCCCCATCCAAAATCGATTTCATGAAGAGCAAATTTCACCAAACTAGTAATTTGATATGCATTAGGACCATTGTCATGATATTCCCGTTTTGATTTTGCTAGTTCGAGTAGCAAGGCAACAAACATGTTGTCGTTGACGTTATCTCTTTTGTAAACTAGCTCTTTAGATTTCCTCATTTCACTGACCAATTTTGATATTGTCATAGATTCTTCGTTATTAGTTATTATTGATGTTGGACATATGGTAAGAAGATTTCCAATAGCATTTGGAGGCAAACCAACTTGTGCTCGCAAATCAACTGCTTGAACCATTGATGATGGTAGGAAAATCCCTGAGTTTGCCTTTGCTGCTCTAACAGCACATTTAAAGATAAGTGCACTCACAACTTCAGTACGTGTTGGATTTTGCACCTCTGATTCAGAAGCAACCGTATTCTTAAGGTTAAGTAATTTCTGATTAGAGAAAATGTACCTTCTTTGGACACAATCATGTTTGTTTGACATGAATAATGGGGATAGAAATGGACCACTTGAAGGTGGAGGAAAAACAGATTGTTCAACATAGTGGAGAGATGGTATGGAGAAATTATTTGGATGGGAAGTTATGTGAGACCAATCACGAAAAAGATTGTAACCACTGCATCCATCTCCAATCTTATGTGATATACACATACTTATGGCTATTCCTCCACAATTAAAATAAGTAAGTTGAACTACAACTAGTCCACGGCTTGCGCAATTTGACCAAGGCAAACCTTGAGGAAATAGCAAATCTTCTATAGCTGTATTATGCCAGTTAAGAGTTTCTGATATGAGGCAATCAATTTGAACTTGAATGAATTCAGCCCCCGCGTCATTACAATCAACTGTAGTATTATCTTTAAGCCTTCCTGCATATGGATAATAAGTGGACAATATTTTGGATAAAGATTCCTCAAGAAGTTGAGATATTTGACTAGTGTTTGAGATAGCATTATCTTTGGTGTAGAAAAGGGAAAATGGAATGTAAGAGTTGCTAAAAGCTTGATCAATTAAAGAAAGTTTGTGCCATCTTTTAGTAGGACAAGTTGGAGAAGATGGCTTGATGAGTTTCTCAGAGATAATGGACACCAGTGGATGGGCAACTGACTCCATTTTGATATCAAATGCTTATCTTCTTTTTCGGCTATGTTACTGCCTTTACCACTTTTATAGATCTAAAATAAATTCAATCATAATGTTTTAGATAGCTCATTCAGTTTTGGCAAGCCAAGGAACTACATTTTCTCTCTGGTTCAGCTAACTAAAAAGGCTTCTTTATTTTTAGTGGGTCAAAGGTGTGCGTGCTAATAACAAAAGGAAGTCAAATCTGACTCTGCCTCTGGTCAACAAAATTCATTTATTTTTAAATGTTTATATTTCTCATCAAAAAAATGGTAGGTGACTCCCAGGGCAGATTTAGGTAATTGCATTGAATTTTTTGGAATTCAACAACTTTTTGGAATTCAATAACTTTTTGCATGAATTGTGTGTTATTCTTGAAAAATACAATAGATATACAAAGAAAAAAATGACTTGGAAACCAACTAAGAAAGATTGTGTGACTAAAATAAAGGAAGGATTTATTCCGAACTTTAATAAATGGTACGTTTATATCCTTCCTTATACTTTGCATCAACATAAGCTTTTGTCTTTCAATTATATGTACATATATACTCCTCTTACTAATGTACCCCTCATTTTATATATACGTGTCTTAATTATATTTAATTACCCGTTTGATCCCTTTATTTGCCCCATAACCCAATAACCCACCCAATTTCCTCTAAAAGGAATCCTAATTAAGAGATCTAAATTAATTAGGCTTCATGGGTTAATTTAAGTCTTTTTGACAAGCGACATGTAGCTTTTTAGAACAACAAGAAGCGAATGTCAAACAATTATGTTACCTGTTGAAGGAATTCATCAAGCAACTTAAGTGCTTTAGTAAGCCAATCCAGAACGATCATTTCGAGTTCTGTCGCTGCTGGAGAAGTTATCCAACTAAAGTCCAACATATTATTGAAGCACTGACAATAATGAATTAGGATTTATGGGTTAATTTGGGTCTTTTAATTAGGATTTCATTTAGAGGAAATTGGGTGGGTTATTGGTTTGTGTGATGGATGGTTGGTTTATTCGTTAAAAAAGGGTGAATCACACATATATATGCTATATTATAAAAATATTTATCATCTATGGAAACATAATTTTTCTAATTAAATATAATTTTTTTTTTAGAATTGAATAAAATTGTGTCGCCTCTTTCTCAGCCCTTTTTTTTCTATTCATCCGCTTCTTTTATTTTTTTCTTCTTCTTTGTCTCTTTATCTCTCATTATTTATGTTCCTCCTCTCTTTTTATTTTTTTTATTCCTCTTCTTTAAAATTTTCATTTAATCAACTATTTGAAAAAATATTTTTGCCCATATTGATTATTTTTACTCAAAAACACGACCAGAAAAGGAATAGAAAAATTAAATATTTGTACAATATCTTGCTCTCAAATAAACATTTCAAATCTTTAAAATTATAGCTACAATAGTTCACCATTAATTGATGGTCATTATAAAACATCAAATTTTAAATTCATTATTTGAATTTTAAGAATTTGTGAGTAGTTTGGATAGATTGTTTCAACAAATAATAAAAATAATATCATTTAATTTAGAGTTTATATCTTAATTTTAAAAGGATTTGGTTAAGTTTATAATTGATTACGGGAGAAATATTAGGTTGAAACTTGGAAAACGTGATGCAACTATATCGCAAATGTATTGAAGTTATATTAAATAATATTTCATAATTATGTTAAAATTATATTAAAATCACCAACAATACCTTTATAATACATATTACAAACTTCACTCTTTTTTTAGTGATATCAATCATAATAATTTAAGTAACACACTTGTAATATATTAACATATGCACAACACATTTGTAATACATGTTGCAAACATACTCATGTTCTTAGTCATACAAACCAAAATAATTTATAACATGTGCACAATACATTTGTAATACATATTACAAACATCACCCATGTTTTTAGTGATACAAAACAAAATAATTTATAAGACATATATAATATTTGTTTTATTCATAAATAATACCAGTTTAATTAAGTCTATAGATTATTGTCTTGTCTTCCGTTATTATGTTTTTCATTTATCATTAATTTTCACTTCTAATTCAACTTTAATATTGTAAAATACACTTTTGATGAAAATTTAATTCATTTGTAGCTTATTATTTGTTACTATTAGATTACTTATTTAATACATGATTATATAAGTGTAAATAACCTAATGCTCTTTCGTGTGCTACATTTTGTATTCATGTTTAATTCGTTTCTAATTCAACTTTAGTATATGCGTAATACATTTTTTATTCAAGTTTAATTCATTTAGCAGTTTATTTTGTTTCTTCATTTGTTATGGTTAGTTTATTCACTAATTAATTATTGATACAAGTTTTGGTCAATCTGTGACTCATTGACTACTCTTTCGATTGTGATTAGTTTGGATAGGTTGTTCATACATAGTTTAAAATATCGTTGGAGTTTATATCTCAATTTTAAGAGTGTTTGATTAAGTTTAGAATTGATTTTAGAAAAAATAATTGACTGGAGCTCGAAAAGGATGAAGTCTACGAAATTATATCGCGTTTGTATTACTGTTTTATTAGATATGTTTCATAATTGTATTAAAAACATGTACAATACATCCTACATGTATAACACATGTTGCAAACTCAACTCCCTTCTTAATGATATAAGCTAAAATACTTTAGGTAACACACTGATAATACATGCAGAATAAACTTTTAATAAATATTGCAAACATCATTCACGTTCTTAGTGATACAAACCAAAAATAATTTATAAAGCACATACAATACATGTTTTATCATGAATATACATGTATAATATATATTATACACTTCACTCATTTTTTACTAATACAAACAAGAATAATTTAGGTAACATTGTAATACATTTAAAAGAAATGCACAATACATTTTTAATATATATTGCAACCATCACTCTTTTTCTCAGTGATAAAAGAAAAGATAATTTCTAAGATATATATGATATATATTCATGAATTATATGAGTTTAATTCATTTTATCAAATCGTTGTCTTGTCTTCGTTAGTTATGTTTTTTATTCATTCTTAGTTCTCTTTTAATTCAACTGTAGTATTGTATAATGCAATTGTAGAGCAATTTAATTTTTTGAAATTTTTTGATTTATTTGTTACTATTGAATTACTTGTTTAATTCATTATTGATATAAGTTTAATTTTTCGATAAATCATTGGCTGTTTTTCATTAGTTACGCTTTTTGTTCATGCATAATTTTCTCTTCATATGCAACTTTAATATTTTGGAAGTACACTTTTAAAATACAATTTTAATTCATTTAAGCAGTTTTGTTTGTTGATTTGTTATGATTGAATTACTTCTTAAATTTATTATTGATACAAGTTCATTTAGTTTGCAGAATGTACAATGCTCTTTGGCTTGCTACACTTTGCATTCATATTTAGTTATCTTCTAATGCAACTTTAATGTGTGTAATACATTTTTAATTCACGTTATAATTTATTTTGCAATTTATTATGTCTCTTCATTTGTTATGATTAAATTATTTTCTAATTAATTAATTAATTAATTATTGATACAAATTTTATTGATTCTACGAAATTAATGAGTAATCTACAAAAAGATAGAGAAAGAAATAAAAGGAAAAAAAGCAACAAAGAGTTGAGAGAGAGAAAGAGAAAGAGAGAGAAATAAGCAGCAAAAAAGAAAACAAGAAAGAAAAAAGAGAGAAAGAGAAAGTGAAACTAAAGCAAAAGAGCGACAAACGAGAAAAATTAAAAAGCCGAGAGAGAAAAAAGAGAAGAGGTGAGAGAGAAAAAACGCTAATAATATATATAGTGTTGTTATATATGGTTATAAATAATTAAAGAGTATATCTACAATAAGTAACTATTTCTTAAAAATGATTTACTCAAGTAATTAATCATGTAAATCACATAAATGGATTATATTTGTCACGTCCCAAAACGAGCCGCTAGTGGCACCCACACTTATCCTACTATGTGAGCGAACCAACCAATCTAAACCCCAACATTCCAACCATAATAAACAGAATATAATGCGGAAGACTTAAAACTTATTAATTTAACCAATAAATAAC